AATTCTTTCAAATTCAGTGACTCATGCTTAATGGTTGGCTTCAAATTTTCACATATTTTTAATCAAAATTTCAAAGCAATGTCTTTTTAAGTCAAATTTCTGTTATCAAAAATTTATTAAATAATGTTTGCTAATTTATAAGCATTTTATTTACAGAATTGAAATTTAACATACAATTTTCAGAGTTTATTTGCATTTAAAATCTAGTCATTTACTAAAATCTCAAAATTTATTTTTTGATTTATAAGTTTTATACTACAAAAAAATGCCACACTTAAAAATTTATTTAAATTTAAAATGAAAAAACTATAAATATCCAAAACATTATGTTATAATTTGATTTTATATATTTTATATAATTTAATGTATACAAATATGGAATATATTAAATATTTAAATATAAAATATAAATTTTGTATTTTATATACAAAGTATACATTTACATCAAATTTTATTTTTAATTTTTCATCCATATTTTTAGTATAAAATATAAAAATTATAAAAGATTCATGCAAAAATTTTAATTAAAAAAATGTTTTCTTCTTAAATTATTTTTAAGACAATTGCAAATATCTTTGCAATTTCACAGAAATATATTTTAATTTAATATTTCACTTGAAAATTGTGACTTTTTAATAAAAATTTATTTATTTTTTATTTTTATTGTTAGCAATGTGAACTAGAAAATATTGTATGAAAAAGTTATTATTCAAAGTGGGAAGTAAAAATAAGAAACAAAAAAATACATTTTTATATAAATGGAATTAAAAATTGAAAATGAAGTCAAAAAAATTGTAAAGGTAAATAAAATACAGTATGTTACAACAGAAATTTTAAAACAAAAATAGAAGAATAAACTACAGAAAAAAGTTTGCAAGATGCAAAATGCATACCTATGAATTAACAAAACTTCAAATTTTAAGTAAGTGATAAATATACTGTATGTTGACTTATTACAAATTAAATTATGTATAGTCTTAAATTTATGAGAAAAATTTTATAATTTTATTGTTTTTAATAACTAAAATAATTTTCAATATAAGCATATATAACTTTGCCAAAATTCACTAAATTAACTAGATTAATTAATTCAATAAATTTTAGCATTATAAATAAATTTTATTTACATATTCCATGCTTATGTTATCAAAGTAAAACAGATTTCTACAGTTTGATTTCCTTGTAAAAATATTAAATAAATACATAATTAATTTATATTTACCTATTAATAGTTGATGTAATAGGTGCAGGTTGATTTAATTTCAACCATATTGATTTAATAGTAAAAGCTTGCAGAAATAAATTGAATTGTATTAACTACAAAATTTAATTATTGAATTACAAGAATTATAAGAAAACATCAAGCAATTATATTATCAAACTTGCACCAACTTGGAACTGTTTTATAGATGAAATATTGATCTCAATTAATAATTGAAAAAGAATTATCAATGGCAATATCATTAATGATACCACATTTTAGTAACATAATTCTGAGAAACTATCACATTACTATTTTCATCATTATTATGAATTGAATTAATTAATTTTTAATTGTATAAAATATTTCTGTAATTCAAATATTTATTGAAATTATTTAATAAAAAGGAAGATGTGAGAACTTTTTCAAATGAGGAAAGCACCAGAAAAAATATCAAAAATCACTATAATGTTAATCACTTCTTGACATAAAATTAATGAATAAATTTTAATTAGTTAATATTTAATTAAATTTTCAAAAACAAAATTTAAAATAATATTTATCTTAGGAAAGTACAAAGTTAAATAATAATTCACTTGTATAGAATCATTTAATGCATTCCGAACACTGATTGAGATTGCTGTTAAGAACAGTATTAATATTCAATGTTGGAACTTGTAGTAAATGTGTCATTGTTTGGTTGTTTTAGTGTAATTTGTAATTTATTACTGTAATTTATCAACCAACAGAAAATAACCTAGAGACAATACAAAACAGCATCAAAGTTCTCTGCATCAATTAGATTACTGAAGTCTTCTTATTATTAAGCATTCAAGAGTCAGAAAGTTTAATTAGATGCTTCAACATATTTGAACAGTATGTTTATCTTTGTCAATTAACAAACTAAATATATGCATTATATTTTAAAATGAAAAATTTTTAAATTATTGTTAAAAAATTAGAAACAAAATGTAAATATTACAATTTTTAGAAATTTGATTTGATGATTTAGTGAATTTGATAACTTCTAAAGAAAAATATAAAAGTTATGTAAAATTAATTTAAATTTTTAAATGACTGAAATCAAAGCTATTCCTAAATTTAAATGTTTATTTTAAATCTCTAATAGAAATTATGAGGTAGACAAACATTGCTCTTAATAATGTTTATTTATTTATATTGTAATAATTAAATTCATTTAAGAAATTTATTTTAAACTATAAAATTCTGACTTTATTTTAAAAGATCAAACATTAAATCTAAAATCATAATATGTATTTAAATGAAAAATATTGATGATCAATAATTATTTTTAGTCTGTTTCCTTAGAATATTGAATATTTATTTTTTTGTTGCTGCATGGAAACCAGATAATTTTCTGTTATCTATTATAATGCAAAATTTCAACTTTTTTTTCTGTAATAATTAATAATGTATATTAGTGATAATTTGGCTTCTAACTTACAGTAATACAACTATTTTCCAATGTCTAATGATATATACCATAATAGAAAGTGATGATTAATGATTAAAACAACAATGATTATGAAAGTTGCTTCTAGCCCTTGATATAATTATATTAATTAAATTATCAACAACTGTGAGGCAGATAATAGTGAGGGCTTATCAGACCAATGATGGGCACAAATGCTCAGGGATCAAAGTGAAAACAATTTAATAAACACAAAAAATTACTATATAAGTATGGAAACAAAAACCCAAAATGCATTTTGGATATTTTCCCTATAGAAAATAGTCCCTGAGTGTTTGTGCCCATCATTGGTCTGATAAGCCCTCACTATTATTGATAATTTAATTAATATAACAGATAAATATGTTTTGTTTTAAATTAAAATAGGTATTTTTCATTGAGAATCCATAGGACACAACTAAATCTAATTTTTATAACTTTGAATTTATAATATTTTTAAATATTTTAGATTTTAATATTTAATTGTATTCTCTGACAAGCATTTAACATATCAATCTATCATTTTAAATTGTTTATTTACTACCGGTATGAATGAGTATTAAATTAATGTATAAAGTGTAGTATTAACAAATACAGAATGACAATAAAAATAGTTTATGAATTAGATTTTTGTAAATCACAAATTCTTAAACAAAAATATTTTTCACAATTTATTCTCCTGAATTTTTAACATAAGGATGTTTTCAGTTTCTGGAAATTTATTTTATGCATAAACATATTTCTTAACTTATGTAAATAAGTTGCACATCTATTTCATTGTATTATCAACTTAATTTTTTTCTTATTACTGTTTTATAAATAAATAAAGGTTGGCATAACAATAGAAGAGTGAATTTGAGTCTAATTTATAAAATGTGGCAAAAATGTCATTGAAATATAGAACCAACTTTAATAAATATGAATCATAAAACTTACATATACTATTCATAAAATATACAAAAAAGATTATAAATTTATATATAAAATTAAATATTTACAAATTCTATATTATAAAAATATTCTACAATTAAAAAAATGTAATAATTAAATTATTTTATACTAATTAAACTCAATTTATTAACTGTTTTGACATTTCCATTTATAATTGTTATTTATCATTCTTTTTTAAAATATTACATTGCAACATTAAAAAAATTAAATCCTTTTAAAAGGCCATTAAAATTAAACATTTTGTGTTACAAAGATAAGCAATTCAAATCTGATATCTGACTGTAGAATTTACCAAGTCTGAGAATGCCAAAAATAATCAATGAAACTCCTAAACAAATGTTCTGTTTCAAACAGCTTTTGGTTATCAAGGGTTGAGAATTTTATAAAACTTTACTATCTTGATAAACTAAATTTTTTCAGCCTGCATTAAATTATTAAAAAGTCTCATTCTAAGTTTTATAAAAAGATGAACTGCACAAATTCATTTTTAAATAATACCAGCATATACCAGTATATGCTGGTATCATTTATCATTTATCATAATTATGCACCGTTATAAAATAGAGAAAGCAAATTCAAGGTAATTTTTGAACAAAGTTTATCATAACAACAAAGAAATCTACTAAAGTAAAGAAATAACTTATCGAAAGGAGCGTCACCAACTAAAAATATATGTATATACTCCACCCTTCAGCTATTTTTCAAAAGATATAATTCTAGAAAGGAATACACCTATCTTACCAATACAGAAAGGTGAAGCTAAAGTTAAAATATAAATATTTTTTAAAGATAATATTTAAATTTAATTAATACTTTTTTATATTTTGGTTATTAATTCTGCAGTATACCAATTTTGACATGTGTTTTTATATATGTTACTTAAATCATACTTAAATTGTGACATGTGACAATCAGAAGCTAGACTTTTTGAAGTGTTACCTTTCAGACTGAGTAAAGCAAGAACTCGGCTTGAAAGGTGTTGCCGAAACATCAATTTTGTTACTTTCACATATGATATTTATGTCAGTTGTGTTATAAGTGAGAAGTTTATAATGTTTTGGTTGAAATTGAATATAAAATAATCTAGATTCATTCAAATATGTATGAAACAAGTTTTGTAATGAAGCTTGCCTATGGCACAGATTCTAGTTAGACCAGTTCACGTGTACAATGACCCGTTAAATTTATAATTATCATATTCAGATGAGAAAAACTGAACTATTTCCATTAATTTCGAATCCAGACAGCCAATGATTTGTGTATAACGTGCTTCCACACCGGCAACCGGTTGAATAAGCACAAAATATCTAAACATTCGACAATTTATATTAATAAAACGATTCCCGACACGTTTAAAAATTGTTTTAAATAACTTACCGATAACTTCTCCTAATTCGTAATCATCTTTATCATTAGGCCATCCTCCCGTCGTTGCTAAGGTACCAACAATTTCGGCCATCTTGGTTGCTATGCTGTCGCTCATACTCCTCCTAGCGGTCATTTTCTCCCGAACGGCAGCGGTGCTCTCCTGTAAAACATGTGCCGTCGCGCTGATACGTCTGTATACACCGGGCGATCCCTGAGTCGGTAAACTTGACTTAACGGAACCACGATAAGGAGCTTTACTAAAAATAAAACAAAATAATAGTCATCGTATCATATCTATAATCTTTTTTATTTGTTAAATATAACGCTACAATCTTATTTCCCAGATGTTTGGAGGCCCGGGATGGGTTATCCTTTCCTCATTATCTCTATACAATGTACAAAAATTCTCTCGTAGAGCCTCAAATAACCCACAACTGACATTGATATATTCAGTTTTACAAGCGAGTTAATTCGAATTTATAAATAGAAGTGTTATATACATATATAAACTTATACTTTTAATCCAATTTAAAACGCTTTTCAACGATGATTTATGATACAGTTTAACGCAATTATACAGACTTACTAAACGAGTTAAATATTTATTTAATTTAGAATATACTGTATAAATAGTAAATTTCACAATAAATAACTTTATTAATGTAATATTTATGTAAGGAACATTACGAAATTTTAAAATCCGAGCTGTAGATAAGAGCTAATTAGCGGCAGAGGAATATCATTTTTTTAAATCTTAATTTTATGCAATTTTATCACGTATAACTGTTATTTAAGGCTTTAACATTGTATAAACTATAGAATAATTTTATGAAAATTATAATTTCGTTTTTCTCTAGAAGTTTTTAAAGGTGTTTTCGCATTTGTTCTATAATTACGCCCGCAATTGAGACTAATTATATATTAGCAAAGTACCTAATTAAGTAACACGAGTTTTAACTGAATAATTCGTATACACTTACAGTAATGTGTAGGATTTAAATATTATAATCGATGTCACTTGTTGTTCTTTTGTTTATAGGGAATGCAAGTAACGACGAAGCCAATATTATACTATTAATAAAAGGAAATAGGAGTCAAGGACTGTTCATTGACCACTTAGTTGTTGTTATACGGTCCAAACTCAATTACCTAAACTTCATACACTAGCACAATAGTCTATAAAGACTACTTAAAATTAAAATTTAAAAAAAATTAGAAAGAAAAATATTATTTTTACTCAAAGAAATTCTATCCAGGAAAATTATATTCTTGATTTCACCTTGAATTCAAATTGGCCTTTATGTCATATACTCTTAGTTAATATTGTACCGGGTAGTAAATGTATATATACTGTATATGCTTACAGCATAATCAATCGTTTAAAAAATGATTTCATAGAAATATTATCATTCATTTTTTTCAAAAACTAACTATAAAATGCTATTTTTAAAGATTATTCTTTATAGAATTCGATGTTATCAGATGGAATTTTTCAGAACTAGTGCCAAAAATTGGTAACTCTTTGAAGTCTTTTAGTAATTATAATTAAATAGTATATATTACTCGCTTTTTCCAAATATTTTAACTTGTTAATTGCCATTTATTTATATATTAATGCAATTATTTGTCTTCTATTTACGTGTAATTTTCCTTTTTTCTTATCATTAGTAATTACAAAATAAATAATTGTTAAGCATTAATCATAATTAATTGTTTTTTTAAAATTACATACGACTTCTATTTATCATTATATTATTAATTGTTAAAAATTCACCCTTATTTATATGTAACCATTAATTACTGCATTATTATTATAATTTTTTATAATTTTCGTCACCCTTTAACACATACTGTATATTGTTAAGTAATAATTGTACTTTATATAGAAAATAATTTTTTTAAAATAGTACTTCGTCAGTTATAGAAAAAAAAACTCAATTTTTTTTCAACAGCAAAATTTGCAGCCTATAATTTAGAATATTACTTTCTTTTAATAACCATTCATTCATCAATACAACTTTAATATTAGCTGCTGTCAAAAGATAATTTTTTCAAATTATTTAATTAAAATTAAACGCATGTAAAAAAATCTGCATATAAATATATTAAGAATTGCGTAAGAAAATTACAAAAATGCAATATTTAATTGCTTGAAAAGTAATTACAAACAATGATTTAAGCATATTTCTTAATCTTACACGTGCAAAAAATAAACTAATTTTAATAAATAAACAAAAAAAGTAGTTAAATCCCCATAACCTCTCAAGCGCAAAATATTTAAAAACACTCAGAATTTAATGATACTTATTTTACTTTTATCACTTTAATGATATGTGCCATACTTACGAAACTTCGATTATGAAAATCCTTTCGTGAATCAATATTAGCGTGTACTTTTTCCTTACAATTTCAAATAAGGATATCCTTTAAAAATATAACACTACTACTGAAGCTATCCATATGTAACAGATGTGCCATAAACATGTGGACTGTCACAGAAAATGTCAGTTATATGCTAAAAATTCAATAATAAAATATATGTCTTTCTAATAAATTACAAATAGCATTTTTATTTTTTGAAAATTTGCCAAAACTATTAGGAAATTTTTGCTATTGTTTTATTGCCAACACCTATGTGCTATGTGCTATAGATTTGCGAGTTAACTAAACAAGTTGCGGCTTGGGCCTCACATTATTTAGTGAAGGTGAAATGCCTGTTATATGTTGCAGCTTAGAGCCATAACAAGTTTAAGTCCAGCTCTGGATCTAGGTATAGATTGATTTAAAGAGTAATATTTAAATGCTATAATTATGTTTGTTTGTTTTCATATAAAGGTTTTTTTTTCTATATTTCGACACACTTATCAATGTCTCGCTTCGTCAATTATTAACTTGATAATTTTTCCTCCCTCGCAATCATAGATTAAATGAATAGAAAACTTTACCTTAAATGAGTAGAAAAATTCTAAACAAGAGTTTACAACTGTTTTAAAGTTTTAAATTAAAATATTAAAAACAAATCTGCTTAAATTTAAAAAAATAAATTAATTTCTCTAATTTTTTTTAATTAAAAATATACTGAGATAATTTTCTAATAAAAATGTTATCTTAGGAAATTACTCATACAGAAAATTCTTAATTAAAAGTTTGCAATATAAATTTTTTTTTGTTATTCGAATTTTAATCCAATTTTTTTCTGTTTTATTAATTTAATAATTTATTAAATTTAATTCCAATTTGTAAAAATATTTTTCTTGAATTTATATTAATTAATTAAATGTGAATTATTTTAAAGAATCATTTCATTGATTAAACTGTGCTTTATATTATTAAATTCTGTTTAAACTTTATTTATTTTTTAATTTAAATTACTGTAAACTTATTTAATCTATGCTGTATTATATTTTTTTTTAAATTTATTTTATAAGTTTAAATATAGCATATTTTAAATTTTTAAATCAAAATAATTGTTTTAATTTAGAGAAAAAGCTTATTTAAATTTAGTATTTTAAAATTTAGTAGTTAAATGTACTGTACATATACACAGTTGTAATCTAAGAAAATTAACGTTTACATGCATATGTTGAATTACTCATAATTTTAATGAATAAAGCATTTTATGATCATAAATTTTGTAATGTATTACTAATAATTAAACCAGATAAAGATCAGCAAGGCCTCAAAGGCCCAACTGGCTTTCTCTGTCTCATTTAATTATTCCAACAATCTAAAAATTATAACCTCTATTTGGGGCTACAAGAAGACCTCAAAGAGCGTATTTAACAAAGCTCTTTGAGGTCTTCTTGGTTCTATCTGGCCTAATTAAACCTATTAGTATCTCCAAAAGTGTAGTCTACATGGCAAATACAATTTAAAGGTCACAAAATCTTTAAAATTTAGTTTTATATATAAAAATATGATATAAATGATATAAATTATAGTGGTTTTATTTGTTTTATGAATTTTATTAATTTGTTAACTTTATTAATAATTTTAATAAATAAACAAAAAAAGTAGTTAAATCCCCATAACCTCTCAAGCGCAAAATATTTAAAAACACTCAGAATTTAATGATACTTATTTTACTTTTATCACTTTAATGATATGTGCCATACTTACGAAACTTCGATTATGAAAATCCTTTCGTGAATCAATATTAGCGTGTACTTTTTCCTTACAATTTCAAATAAGGATATCCTTTAAAAATATAACACTACTACTGAAGCTATCCATATGTAACAGATGTGCCATAAACATGTGGACTGTCACAGAAAATGTCAGTTATATGCTAAAAATTCAATAATAAAATATATGTCTTTCTAATAAATTACAAATAGCATTTTTATTTTTTGAAAATTTGCCAAAACTATTAGGAAATTTTTGCTATTGTTTTATTGCCAACACCTATGTGCTATGTGCTATAGATTTGCGAGTTAACTAAACAAGTTGCGGCTTGGGCCTCACATTATTTAGTGAAGGTGAAATGCCTGTTATATGTTGCAGCTTAGAGCCATAACAAGTTTAAGTCCAGCTCTGGATCTAGGTATAGATTGATTTAAAGAGTAATATTTAAATGCTATAATTATGTTTGTTTGTTTTCATATAAAGGTTTTTTTTTCTATATTTCGACACACTTATCAATGTCTCGCTTCGTCAATTATTAACTTGATAATTTTTCCTCCCTCGCAATCATAGATTAAATGAATAGAAAACTTTACCTTAAATGAGTAGAAAAATTCTAAACAAGAGTTTACAACTGTTTTAAAGTTTTAAATTAAAATATTAAAAACAAATCTGCTTAAATTTAAAAAAATAAATTAATTTCTCTAATTTTTTTTAATTAAAAATATACTGAGATAATTTTCTAATAAAAATGTTTGCTGTCGCTCATACTCCTCCTAGCGGTCATTTTCTCCCGAACGGCAGCGGTGCTCTCCTGTAAAACATGTGCCGTCGCGCTGATACGTCTGTATACACCGGGCGATCCCTGAGTCGGTAAACTTGACTTAACGGAACCACGATAAGGAGCTTTACTAAAAATAAAACAAAATAATAGTCATCGTATCATATCTATAATCTTTTTTATTTGTTAAATATAACGCTACAATCTTATTTCCCAGATGTTTGGAGGCCCGGGATGGGTTATCCTTTCCTCATTATCTCTATACAATGTACAAAAATTCTCTCGTAGAGCCTCAAATAACCCACAACTGACATTGATATATTCAGTTTTACAAGCGAGTTAATTCGAATTTATAAATAGAAGTGTTATATACATATATAAACTTATACTTTTAATCCAATTTAAAACGCTTTTCAACGATGATTTATGATACAGTTTAACGCAATTATACAGACTTACTAAACGAGTTAAATATTTATTTAATTTAGAATATACTGTATAAATAGTAAATTTCACAATAAATAACTTTATTAATGTAATATTTATGTAAGGAACATTACGAAATTTTAAAATCCGAGCTGTAGATAAGAGCTAATTAGCGGCAGAGGAATATCATTTTTTTAAATCTTAATTTTATGCAATTTTATCACGTATAACTGTTATTTAAGGCTTTAACATTGTATAAACTATAGAATAATTTTATGAAAATTATAATTTCGTTTTTCTCTAGAAGTTTTTAAAGGTGTTTTCGCATTTGTTCTATAATTACGCCCGCAATTGAGACTAATTATATATTAGCAAAGTACCTAATTAAGTAACACGAGTTTTAACTGAATAATTCGTATACACTTACAGTAATGTGTAGGATTTAAATATTATAATCGATGTCACTTGTTGTTCTTTTGTTTATAGGGAATGCAAGTAACGACGAAGCCAATATTATACTATTAATAAAAGGAAATAGGAGTCAAGGACTGTTCATTGACCACTTAGTTGTTGTTATACGGTCCAAACTCAATTACCTAAACTTCATACACTAGCACAATAGTCTATAAAGACTACTTAAAATTAAAATGTAAAAAAAATTAGAAAGAAAAATATTATTTTTACTCAAAGAAATTCTATCCAGGAAAATTATATTCTTGATTTCACCTTGAATTCAAATTGGCCTTTATGTCATATACTCTTAGTTAATATTGTACCGGGTAGTAAATGTATATATACTGTATATGCTTACAGCATAATCAATCGTTTAAAAAATGATTTCATAGAAATATTATCATTCATTTTTTTCAAAAACTAACTATAAAATGCTATTTTTAAAGATTATTCTTTATAGAATTCGATGTTATCAGATGGAATTTTTCAGAACTAGTGCCAAAAATTGGTAACTCTTTGAAGTCTTTTAGTAATTATAATTAAATAGTATATATTACTCGCTTTTTCCAAATATTTTAACTTGTTAATTGCCATTTATTTATATATTAATGCAATTATTTGTCTTCTATTTACGTGTAATTTTCCTTTTTTCTTATCATTAGTAATTACAAAATAAATAATTGTTAAGCATTAATCATAATTAATTGTTTTTTTAAAATTACATACGACTTCTATTTATCATTATATTATTAATTGTTAAAAATTCACCCTTATTTATATGTAACCATTAATTACTGCATTATTATTATAATTTTTTATAATTTTCGTCACCCTTTAACACATACTGTATATTGTTAAGTAATAATTGTACTTTATATAGAAAATAATTTTTTTAAAATAGTACTTCGTCAGTTATAGAAAAAAAAACTCAATTTTTTTTCAACAGCAAAATTTGCAGCCTATAATTTAGAATATTACTTTCTTTTAATAACCATTCATTCATCAATACAACTTTAATATTAGCTGCTGTCAAAAGATAATTTTTTCAAATTATTTAATTAAAATTAAACGCATGTAAAAAAATCTGCATATAAATATATTAAGAATTGCGTAAGAAAATTACAAAAATGCAATATTTAATTGCTTGAAAAGTAATTACAAACAATGATTTAAGCATATTTCTTAATCTTACACGTGCAAAAAATAAACTAATTTTAATAAATAAACAAAAAAAGTAGTTAAATCCCCATAACCTCTCAAGCGCAAAATATTTAAAAACACTCAGAATTTAATGATACTTATTTTACTTTTATCACTTTAATGATATGTGCCATACTTACGAAACTTCGATTATGAAAATCCTTTCGTGAATCAATATTAGCGTGTACTTTTTCCTTACAATTTCAAATAAGGATATCCTTTAAAAATATAACACTACTACTGAAGCTATCCATATGTAACAGATGTGCCATAAACATGTGGACTGTCACAGAAAATGTCAGTTATATGCTAAAAATTCAATAATAAAATATATGTCTTTCTAATAAATTACAAATAGCATTTTTATTTTTTGAAAATTTGCCAAAACTATTAGGAAATTTTTGCTATTGTTTTATTGCCAACACCTATGTGCTATGTGCTATAGATTTGCGAGTTAACTAAACAAGTTGCGGCTTGGGCCTCACATTATTTAGTGAAGGTGAAATGCCTGTTATATGTTGCAGCTTAGAGCCATAACAAGTTTAAGTCCAGCTCTGGATCTAGGTATAGATTGATTTAAAGAGTAATATTTAAATGCTATAATTATGTTTGTTTGTTTTCATATAAAGGTTTTTTTTTCTATATTTCGACACACTTATCAATGTCTCGCTTCGTCAATTATTAACTTGATAATTTTTCCTCCCTCGCAATCATAGATTAAATGAATAGAAAACTTTACCTTAAATGAGTAGAAAAATTCTAAACAAGAGTTTACAACTGTTTTAAAGTTTTAAATTAAAATATTAAAAACAAATCTGCTTAAATTTAAAAAAATAAATTAATTTCTCTAATTTTTTTTAATTAAAAATATACTGAGATAATTTTCTAATAAAAATGTTATCTTAGGAAATTACTCATACAGAAAATTCTTAATTAAAAGTTTGCAATATAATTTTTTTTTTNCCAGTCTTGAATTTCATAATTTTTATAGTGACAATTCGAATATTTTTTATTTTGCATCGGTTATATTCATTAACAAAAACAAAGCTGAAATAAGATTCAGTCTCGAAGATATGGTCAGAATTCTAATAATAAATGATAAATGGTTCCAAATTGAATTATGAATGTCTGTCCTATAAAACAGAAAACTCAACTAAGCTTTTTTTCACGTATCAATTCATAGAATCTTTTGCAAGCAAAGATATTTCATGGTATTTCTTACACTTACGGTATCTTGTGAGGGCCCCTTAAGTGGCCTTCACAAGATACTCATTAAGTCGACAATAACTACTATTGTCGACTTAATGAATAGTTCAACGCGTACCCAAACTCTTCCGAAGCCTCATTTATGTTCAGTATCTTTCAGAATCAGATATAGAAAGAAGCCTTGGTCATTTACCCTTTAAAGCCTTTCAATATATTAAAAAGGCAAAAGGCATTACAGTTTTTAAATAATAAGTTTTGGTTGCAAAATTAAAGGAAATTTTTTTTATTATAAAAAGGAATGGAATGAAATAATTAATTTGTAAAAAATATTTTTCAAGTTCTCGTAAATGTGAGGCCCGGGTTAAATGGCTCTGTAGTCCCTGTGCGAGAAAGTTTGACTTATATCCATGAATAGTTTAGAAGAAGAGGCTTGATCCTGTATACGAATATATTTCATGCTTACGAATGTATAGCAAATTCGGCCAATCCGAAATTGTTATCTTAAGACTCAGAAGACTAAAGGAAATATAAAAATTCAGCATAGATGAAGAATAAAAAACGAATTCCCCATCCAAAATGTCCTTGAAAAATCCGGGTTCGAATCTCTCGTACTCCGGAACTCATAGAAATAAAACAGATCCTCATTTCGCAGCCACCGGGCTTCCATCTTTCTTTACACTGATTAAATTATTTTTTAGTCAGGCTTCACAGAAAGTGATCAAATGTTGCATGGTGGAACAAATCCAATCTATATAGTTCAATCCAATCCAAATATGTATACGTTAAACATTGCATATTGAGTTTGATTAGACGAGGTAAAAATATTGAAAATACATACAGTAACTTATATTTAAATAAAAATAAAATATATCATCTACAGATCTACCCTATTATGTTTCTTGGACAAACTTTAGTGGTTATAGCTTAAATTATGGGAGGATCTAGGCAAGCGTTAACTTGTGAGGCTCCTCTTACATAAGATTATATAAGAGGGCCTTGTATTATATCAAGTATCGCGTAATATATATATATATAAGATTAGGATATATATCAAGCGATACTTGATACA